ATACTTGTAACTGACTGCTGCAGGCTGTGATAGAGAAATTGTTGGTCTAATCATTCAATTATGTAATAGATTGTAATCTCCACCCCGCAACGTGTCGATGATGCTTGTTTGTAGGGCTATCGATGCAGTATGGTGGAGGCTTCAGCATACATCAGACTTTTCTGGTTTTTTTTGTATATATTTGACTTTTCTTCCGACCTTCGACTTTAACTACCTAGTGATACCACATACGCGACCCATTCGAAAGTGTCCACGTTTTTGCGACTTTAGAACTTGCAAACAAGATGTGTAACTTGGCGGACATCTCCTCGTAATAGTAAAGCCTCTCTGTGCGTGAGTGATCCACCAATGATGTTTTGAGTTGTTTGTTGAATCTATGTCCCTAGTGATGAAGTCGATTGCAAGATCCTACCGTACTCGGTAATAGAGGATGAAAGGATTTGTGGTTGAATGAATGAATATATCTGGAAATGTTTTGTAAATCTGCCGATGGAATTATATCTTAATGCTCCGTTGATTGTGGCATTGAATTTGAGTGTCCGGCCCTATCATATGGCTGCTCTAAACCTTTTGCAGCTAGCAATATTGGAACGACTTTTTGTGGTACTATTTGTGGACTTCAGCATGAAATTACATTAATTTCACGCATCGGTTTTCAGGCGTAATAGTTTCATATTGACTTGGTCATTGCTTACTTCCGCGCCGTCTGTAATTAACAGTTATAATTAAGCCTGTTAATTATGCATGCTAAATCCATTTATTTGTGTTTGAAAACTATATAATTTACATAAGCCTAACATAATGTGGAGATGAACTGGGCCATTGATCAGCTGATTGTAAATGTTTATAAAAATCACTTGGAGTTATCTCCCTTGGACCACAGAGAGTTTCGTTAAATGTTATCGATGACTGCTGGGACAAGTCGACTAGGTCTTGACAACAGATTAGCGAGCTACATTTTCACTTATCCTTTTGATATAATAAACGATCAAAATTTGCAATGGATATTTCGAAAATAGACCAAGCGGTACTGTAAGTTGGATCTTTTTAACACCCCATTCGGTGTTTGTTTCGGTTGTCTTAGATTCTCTAAACTTTTAGATTAGTTTCAGTTACTTTTATATTTTTTTGCACAGGTAGAGAGTGTAGTTTTGAAGGTTCATGTTCATCTTCGAAGGCTCCAGAAAGCTCGAGGGTAGCTTCTATAATAAATGTGCTTGACGCCTCTGAGCCGGCCAATGTTTCCAGATCGAAATCTTCCTCATGAAATCGGAATTCATGCCGAAAACATTCCCAATGTGTTCTAAATGAAAATCGCTGTAGGTGTTACTTGTATCGGCCATTACGAATCTGTAAGCAGACGACAGACACCGTAAAAGGGCAAATATTTTAATTTGTAAAAAATGCATTTGTTCTGCGTGTAAGTTATAGCTCAAACGATCGAGTGATTTTGTATCGAATGATTACGTAAAAGAGATAATTTAAAAGAATATAATTGAGGTTTTCGTTCATCAATTTTATTTGAACTGGAGGCTATGGAGTCTCACGCATGTACCTGAGCGTAGTCTGCCTTACCCAGGGGCCCCCTACTCTCTCCTACTCAAGCATGGTGGGCAGACGACACACATTGATTCGCTACTTCAATTCTATGCCAGATTACGCAGGCCCGAGAAGTCGGATGGTGACTCGTGATGAAAGACGAGTGTGGGAAACTTGAAGTGGAACTCCTGATCAGCACAGAGGGTCGAGCTAGATCAGTGGGGTGAATCCGTCCATTTAACCATTACTGGTATGCCATGGTATTTCAGGGGATACAATACAGTTTTTCGGTGGACAAGAAATTGACTTTCGGAGCAAGCACGAGCCCTAGGATATTTCAAACATTGAGTGCAGCAGTCTGCAGTCAAGCAACTCAGATTTCGTGTGATCGTCATTGGATACATAGACAATGTTTGCACAGAGCATCAATGTCGGCAAGGATGACAGCATCACATTGTACTTTTGTGGAAGTTAGGTTTCCGCATCAGCTAGCATAAGGTAGAAGGTCAAGCACAACAACAAACTTTCCTAGGGGTGGAAATAGACACCTGCAGTCTTACACTATCACTGCCATTAGGCAAACTAATTGATTTTAGACTATTAGTTGCAGCCTTTATCGATAGGAAAAAGCATCTCATAAGCAGCTTGTTTCTCTGGACCTACCAAGTCGTTCCGTGTGTAAGGAGAAAAATTAATAATTAATTCTACCAAGCTGGGACATCAGGGTGTCACGTTACACAAATAGTTTAGGTGCAATATGACACGGTGAAGAGATCTTCTACAGGTGCTTATTTGAACACACAGACTCATAGAGAAAGCGACAGGCATTATTCATATTGGAACTAGGGTTTACACCCACCGAATCATGTACAAGGGCATATCAAAAGTTAACGAACTTGCAGCTGTGGCATTGGCTATGCATATATATCATATCTCTCTTGTGAAATGATTGTGTTTCCTGATAATGTCACAACCATTTATGCAGTGAACAAGAGTACTTTTCAGAGTAGGTTTGCACAAAGACGTGTATATACGTCCGTGGTGTGCATAAACGCAGGGATTTGTTCTTGCTGCTAGCTATATGCTACTCAAAGTTTGCTTATGATCAAGATATGATGTATTAAAAAAATCACACAAATAAAGAATGAGTTTGCTAACCCCTATAGGATCTCGATTTCACGATGAATGGGCAGAGGCACGCAGTAATGGGCACGGGGTGGACGAGGTGCTTGAACACTTGTGTATGGATGTATCTTGACAGTATCGTTTCACATCATTATCAGAGAGCACAACAACATTTGCTACTAAGGATTGCAACAACGGAATGCACTTATGCCCCCTCAACGTCAAAGACGAACGAGGAATCAGGCAGATGCATAGGCAGGCTTGAAACTTAGTCAACACAACGTCACGTTTCAAACGTCTTTAGTGTCAGCCAAAGTATGATCAGCAGAGCATGGATCGATACCAGACGTTTGGATCAGCTTCCCACCGACATGCTGGTGGTCGACACCGTTCCACCACACAGCGGGAGGTCAGATTACAGAAAGACGTCACTTCACTTCGTGACTGCCACCACACTGAGAAAGGACCCGAGGAACGCCAGTTAACGTTTCTACTCAAACAGTACGTAAACGTATTCGTGTCGCTGGTCTCTGTGGTATCAGATTAAGGTTTGTTGAGAAACACACTCAACCGCACCAATTAGTAAGGCAGTGTTGGTGCGTTGGTGTGTAGATGCACACCTTCAAAGACCAGGCTAGACACCTAGTTACGCAACAGGCGGTGTGTTCGGATGTCTGCTAAAACTATTTAGACTGGCATCGTGGCAGTTTAGACCTCGGTAGTTTATTAACACTCTCTGTGTATTCAGATCTTGACAATCTGTGTTTTGAAACTGACAAAACACGCCTACAAGGGTTTGGTTGAGATAAGGGTAAAACCCTCGGGCCTACGGAGTGTTTTCAACCTCAACCAAACCCTTGTAGGCGTGTTTTGTAAATCGTCTAAATCCAAGAAGTATGATGAAAAAATATTGTTGCACGTGTTGTAACAGACCTTTTGAGACAGCATAAAATTGCTGTTTCTCGAGACCTCTCCCCCATGTCTAGGATGTGATGCGCCTACGACAGGACCAGAACCAGCCGGTAACGCCAGTTCAGTTTTGCCAATCCTTGGATGACATTTTGAACAACATCCCCAAGGCTGCTGTCTTCAATACGCCGCCGCTGCTTTGCCTGTATAATTGGAAATGGTGGTCACGCCCGATACTGACATTGTTAAATGAGTTTTTTTTACACCACCCTTATTTTTGGGCCCTGTCTCCTGTTACCATGGGTATGGGTTTGTCAAGAAATGTTTTATGATAAGACTTTCATCAGACATGTATGACCAAATATTATGTTGTTATTTTCAATGACATAACATTAACACCACTTAATATGACGCACATTTACTTTTTCCGTGTGTGTGTGTGTGTGTGTGTGTGTGTCCGTGTGTGTGTGTGTGTGTGTGTGTGTGTATCGTCCTTTGACCTTTACACTAAAGTATTGATTGATTGATCGAATATGTAATTCATGATAACTAAAGGTTATATGGAACTTAATAATGTTTTCAAGATGTAACTTGTTTTGCCTAATATTTTGTTGAAAGTCGCGATGTATATATTTATAACATGCAGAAGTATTTTCAAACATTGTGATATAAAGTTTATGTGTTATGAGTCATTCGGGTGAATAGAATATGTGATGGTTTTTTTCATGTTTCATGATATACATGAGCAAACTGTTGTTTAGCGCCACAGTCAAAACTTTTCCAGAAATATCAAGGCGACCTGTAAATAATCGAGTCTGGACTAGACAAACAAGTGCACCCATGAAAGCCGATGCCCGAAGTGTGCAATGTGTCAGCCTGGTAAATGTAAATCGACTATGCTGATCATCCTTTTATTATTGTCGTGTATGACACTAAGATTCTGATCTTCTCTGGTTACTTTTTGGTAGTCATATGTTTGCTATAGAAGAATATAAATAATACATTCCAGTTTTTGTCAGAAAAAACAAACTTGCCCATTTGCCCAAATCTAGTTCTCCTTTGTTAAAACTTACAGAGCGACAAGTTTGTAAATAAGATACCCGGTATTTGTCCAAGTAGTGTCAGGTACCGGTTCCGGTTGTCATAGCGACCGATTTGGGACAACCATTGTCTGAATGAATATTTAATTCCAAAGACTAATTACCCTGTAGCCATGATATGTATATGCCTTGAAACACTTAATTGCCGTTATTTATAAGATGCTAACCCTAATTGTTAATCCCCATTGCATTGTACATTGTCCTGCCAGTCGGAACGAGATGTGCAGCAGGAGGCCTCACGTGGATGCGATGCCACGGGGTCACAGATGCACGTTTCAGGTTTCAGGAGGCAAGTATATGATCATGATGGGACTAAATATCTACTTGAAGTGTTAGTCTACACTTCAATCTGTAAGGTCACTAGCCACGACCAGCCCGCACCATGCACTCAAGTATTCATGACCCAGACACTGGACGTTTTTAACAATTTGCTCTCTGGGTTTGTTCTGCAGGAACGCCTCTTTGGGATGAGTCTTAATGGTATGTACATTGTATTGAAAGTTTTGACATTCTAACTGACGGCTTTATTACAATTGCACCGACATTGTATTGGTAATACATGTATATTGTCATCAGGTACATATCTTACTTCTAAATGCCCCCCATGTCCTAAAGCTTTATACATTTTTAATTAAAGTTATTTTTGCAGCTATTTTGTTTCTAAAATATAGTGTTATGTGTTATGTTATGGTCTGCAACTCCTGTTTTTAAATGGCGATCGTTAGTTGAGTATACAGTTTAAAAAAATATAGTATAGTTAATTATGCTTGCATAATGCACCACCATGACTAGTTGGTGTGATAATGGGGATGTAGTACTAATATGTTTTGGCCCACAATAAACAAAAGTGTGGCTGACAAAAATTGCAGTTACACTAAATTGACATGTGGTGCATGAACTGGAACCTTTACCAAGGATAAAAGAAAATAAACAAGCGGCATATGTAGATTGTTTACAGCTGAAGTATCATTGCCATGTGCGATGTATACTGTGAATGTGCTGTGTCTTCAGGCAGAAGTAGAAGGCTTGTCTATGTCTTACTAAGATGTGACTAAGCCGGTGTGTTCGGTTATTGTCTATGTCTGGCTACACATGGAAATGACTGGTTGCTGGCATCATATCTGTACGACTAATGATGATCACTGAAAACAGGATTATTTAGATGAAAGGGTAGTCATATCTGGAAACTCAGATACCACAATGAAACAGATATAGCTTTCGCCTTTAAAGTTCATCGTTATGAAGCAAACGTCTTCCTGGTTATCACTGTCAACATCCAAATGTATCAACAAAGATAAAACCAACAATGGAAATAATCATAAACAATCTCTGCTATAGTGCAGAGTCCGTTGTACGATTCCGACTATATCATGCGCATGTGTTCATGAATCAGTATCAAATAGTATAGCACTGATACCAAGTGTTCGCGAAACTTACTAATATGAACACGTTTCTCATTACTTTGGGATTATTTGAGATGGTTTTATTCATACATGTATGATCAAAAGTATTGTATATTGATGTTAATGCATTTGTACTCACCGTAACTTAAGAAATAAATTAAATATGACTGTCACTGACAAAGCATACAAACATAGCATAGACACTATCGACAAGAGCCTGATTCCCCACATACAATACGCAGTGGAGTGGAGAGTCTTGGGTGCTTAACGATCTACTTCCGACAGGAATAGTAACAAAGTGCAGAATCCGGTTTTCCCTAAAGTTCGACTTTATTCCGGATAAAGATCAACTATAAATACGGCTACATGTAAACTCCCTTGTTTCCAATTTTGGTGAGGGTGTACTGTGAGTTACACATGTAAGTTGTAAGATGTAAACCAGACCAGCTTCGATGAAATTCTGACACAGGTAAGGAATTTTATCATTGCGAATTTACAGGTTTTCACGCATATTTAAGCATTATTTCATTTAAGTAACATATTTGTTGTCAAGGGTAAGGTTGTGAGAGATTAAAGGTCATATATTAAACGCAGAAAAAAGACTAATGTTCGCTTTCTTACAAATAGAAGAAGAAAAACAACATCTAGGTGACAAATTAAATAAATCGGAAAATGAATTACGTAATCAAGTTCTTGATACAGATCGAGGTGTGACACTCGTAAGCTAGATGCAGTTGTTGCCTTGATGTCCAGATGTGGTGGATAAATCATGAATAAATATTATTTTGTTGAGATAAGAACGTAGACTCACACAGGTGCGGTAGAATTGTTATTCATATATATGAAGGTTTTGAACCCACTTCCAATAATGGATGCTCAGTATCATGGTACTGAAATTGTGAAGACACATGTGAATCCTTGTCCCAGTGCCCACGAACACTGGGAGATTTGTTCATGAGAGCAAAACAAAAAGTCAAGGCACATTTACAAATGTAATTCTGGTGAGATGAAAGGACTCTTAAACCATCAAGTGAGAAAAGTGCCTGTTACAGGGGTTTTATATGTTACTAGGATTCCCCTGGCTGCATAGGTCCGTCAGTTTGATGTGAGAGGACAGTACAACACGAATGTTACGCAACTTTATCAATTTTTAGAACGTGTATTGAGTACGGATTTATTGGACTCATATGTAATAAAGTAAATAACTTCTTGAATATGCCTTTTCTGATTTCTAATCAGATCCTTCGACCATTGTGGGCTTGTGTGTGCTTTTGCTGTGGTACTCCAAATCCTGTGTCTCAGCAGTTGGTGAGATTTAATTCGGTTATGTTAATATACGATTCATCCACTGTAATGGTTAAAATGATTAAAATCTTGAAATATTCAATGGTGATGAGGAACTATAAGTTGAACGGACAGGCACCCACCCACCCATCCACGCAAGAAAACGCGCACACCTACGCATGCGCACACCGACATTCACGGGCACACACCCATTCATCTTTGGTATATATCTATCATCCGTGTTAAAGTCTATCATCTGTTATACAGATCTCACATTTTTTTCTTGCAGCTGGAGAATGCCATTGCAATACCTCCAATGCCTGTTCCGTGTTTCCCTCCTCCCCCTGTAGCCTGCCCGGGGGTGAGGACAGATGTCAGGAGGGATGGTTTGGTCAATACTGTCAGAAACGTAACTATCAATCATCCTATAGTGTTGTGTATACATATATATACGCGACGTTTAAAACTTTTAGTTATTTCACTCACATCACAACTATCGCAGTGTCTTAAGCTGAAGTGAGTGAGTTGCCGTTTAAAGCCGATTTAAAAACTATTCCACTTATATCACGGCGTGTCAGCTTAATGTGTGAGGAAAGCCCGAAGTGATGCAGGAATTAGACGTTTATCACTCCGGTAAAACGCACGAGCGCGGGTCTGGTGGTGACAAACCTACAATCATAGGTTCCTGGCGTGCACACGGGACGCGACTCTGCATGGCAAATTGCGGGGCCGCCACCCGCGCCACCTTTAAGCTGAAGTACAACTCCATGCTATTGAAGTACGAATTCGATCTTACATAGGGAGAGGGGGTGGGGCACAAAGCTGAAGTACAACTCCATGCTATTGAAGAAGGAATTCGATCTTACATAGGGAGAGGGGTTGGGGCTTTAAGCTGAAGTACAACTCCATGCTATTGAAGAAGGAATTCGATCTTACATAGGGAGAGGGGTTGGGGCTTTAAGCTGAAGTACAACTCCATGCTATTGAAGTACGAATTCGATCTTACATAGGGAGAGGGGTTGGGGCTTTAAGCTGAAGTACAACTCCATGCTATTGAAGAAGGAATTCGATCTTACATAGGGAGAGGGGTTGGGGCTTAAAGCTGAAGTACAACTCCATGCTATTGAAGAAGGAATTCGATCTTACATAGGGAGAGGGGGTGGGAACCTTCCCAGAAACACAGAATTAGATTCCTGTGTCAGACTGCTCACAAGTAAGCTATATAATGCTTGTCGAAAGCGGTGATGTCAGATTGCTCACAAGTAAGCTATGCATGTCGAAAGCGAGTACGGAAATGTATGGGGAGGTCAGATCAGGTCTGTGAATTATCGTGGTCAGTTTGTGTACATGTGGATTGTCGCTTATGCCGCCAGGTCACTGGATTGGATGGTCCAAACTCAGGTGTCTATTGCGTCATTATTATTATATCCTGGTACCTATTCACCCCTGAATCCCCAGAAATGCAATGGAGTCACTATGTTTAAGGATAGTCAAATCCTAAACTAACAAGTCTTGTAAATTCTTCAGAAAATGTGGCGCTGAGGAAGCCTGCCAGTCAGAGCTCTGTGTGGTATGAACAAGAGGAAACTGCTCAGCCACTGAATCTCACAGCGTCCTATGCAGTTGATGGAAAAGCTTCAACCCTTTTCATCGACAGTCCATGTTCTCACACCGACAGGGGAGACTTCCGACCGTACTGGAAAGTATTTCTGGGTGCCAGGACTAACCGGACACTCCTGCACATGCGATTATATCTCCGTGAGATTTGTGAGTACACCTAAAGGGGGTTGCATTTTTAATGTAGTTTTGATGACATATACTTCGTGTACTTGCCACAAGCGTAACCGTGCTTCATATAAGTGAGTGAGTGAATATAGGTTTTCGCCGCTTTTAGCACTATTCCGGCAATATCACAGTGCGAGGAACACCGGAATGGGTTTCACACATTGTAACCATGCGGGGATTCGAACCCTGAATTACAAGGCTACCTCACCGGTGGTGTGCCTATTTTGAATCAAAGTATTAAAAAGGGGAAGATATTGAGTAAATACAAAATTATCAACAGCCAGACAACCCAAAAATCTTAGAAAGATTTGATTCTGTTGTCATCACTCCACAGGTTTCTAAGTGCGGTGACAAACGCTGCCTTACTTGCAGCAATATAAGTGAAGGCTGTTCGGTCCAAATTACAAAGGGCACTAAATTTACTGTAAAACAAAATATACTGAGTCAAATTAAAAACTTCACATTTTTAAAAGTAATCCCATATATGATATACAACGGACAAATGTATCAGAGAAGGTAATTTTTAATCATTAATGTCCAAAGAAGGATTTTAATTAACGGTGGTAACCATAATTTGTTCCAAGCACCTACGGTATTCGGTAATAACATAAACAGTTTAAATCATAAGTCCCAAGCACGAGAATCTGATGGCACACAAGTTCAGTAGCGTGTATGTCCAGCATGTGCGTTGACAACTGCCAAATAACGCCTCCGCGTGGACCTTGTGATGCTTGTGAACACATGATTGGGAAGACGACGCCATTGTTGCTGCAAAATGGTGCCAAGATCTTGCAAATGCTGTGGTTGGTTCTGGAGATCGCGCAGACTTCTGCCAAGAGCATCCCAGACGTGTTCGATGGGATTGAGGTCGGGTGCCCTTGACGGCCAGTCCATGACGTTGACAACCGCATTCTGAAGGAAATTCCTTGTCAAAATTGCTGTGTTGGGTCTGGCATTGTCGTGTTGGGAGATCAAACTGGGTCCATGTGCTGCCATAAAAGGCAGAAGTTCTGGTGCCAGTACCTTGTAGTGGTAAGCAGCAGCGTTGAGGTTGCCACGGATGACAAAGAAGCTTGGAACGTGCATTGCTACAGAAAGCACTCCACACCATGACACTTCCGCCTCGAAATCTGTCAACTTCCTGTACACAACACTGAGCGTAACGCCTCCACACCCTCGCCCTACCATCAGCAAATCGAAGATTAAATCGGGATTCATCACTGAAGGCGACTTGATTCCAAGTCCATCGTAAGTGTCGCTGTGCCCACAATTGACGTTGACGTCTGTGTAATTGAGTCAGAATCGGCCCGCACTATGGCCGTCGTGCTTGAAGGTGAGCAGTTCTCAGACGGTTTCGAACAGTTTGCGCACTCAGTCTACCCCTAAACAGTTCATTTCTGGTTGATGTAGCCGTCAAAAATCGGTTACGGAGGTGACGTAAGAGAATCTGACGATCCTCTGCATGTGACGTCACCTGCACAAAAACGGGTGTTATCTGAAGACAATACGTTGCCATTACTGTTTAAATACACAATAAGGGCCCACAATGATAACTGGTCAAAATGTTAAAATGTTAGGATTGTGAAGTTTTTAATTTGGTTCAGTATATACTTGTGATACAAGAAATGTTATTTACTTGATTGTTTGTAGCGGATGCAATGAAACGTATATCGGAAAGACAGAACTTAAATTAAAAAGAAGAATGAATCTTCACCGTTCACAAATAAAGCAGCCACACAACCGCACGATTCCACTCAGTGAACATTTAGATACACGTGGAAGCGGCAACTTTTTAGTTTCCCGCTGTGAAAGCTAAATTTTGATCATGAACCTACATTTCATTCATAAATACGCGCCTAAGTTAAATTTAAATGCGTAAGGAATTTGTCCATTGTCACCTTGGTATTGTGACGTCATAGTTCTCCTAAATGTTATGACGTCACGTAACTATATAAGACTCATACGTGGTACGAGTTGAAAGCGCTAGCCAATTAAAACTGTGTTCAGTCTTACTCCACTTATTTAATTAATAATATTAATATATATATATATATATATATATATATATATATATATATATATATATATACTAACGGAAAAAGTAACTGTGCTTCATATAAAAAGGGTCATATTGTGTTATTAAACATAACATAATATTTGGTGTAATATCAATGTTTTTTATGCATGGCAAATTCGTTGACAAAACCCAGGAGACTACCTAGAAAAGAGGGATGGTGTAACAACTCAATAAACAATGTCAATATCGTGGGTGACCGCCATTTGTCTTGATACAGGCGACGCAGCGGCGGCGCACTGAAGACATCAGATGATTGCAAACATCATGGGAGATGTTGTTTTAAATGTCAACCAAAGATTGGTTCAACTTAGCTAGCGTTACTGGTTGGTTCTGGTCCTGTTGTATGTGTCGTTCCATCTCATACCAGACATGTACTAAGGGGTAGGGGTCTGGAGAAACAGTCGGCAAGGACAGTTATTCTCCCTCACAAAGTCTGTTACAACACGTGCATCATGTGAAAGGGCGTCATCCTGCTGTAACATTATGTTACGCTCCTGAACATGCACATAGGGTACAGTATGACTTCGAACGATTTCGTCACTGTAGCGTGCTCAATTCAGATTGAAATCAACAATGATGACTTGTGTTCTCCCATGAGTTGTGATGCCACCCCACACCATTACACTTCCATCCCCAAACTGACACCATAAGCGTTAGTAAAACATTCTCCTGGACGCAGGTGGACCCTTGCGCGACCATCAGACTCATCAGTGAACAGTTTACTGTTCCAGTCTTGTCTTGTGAACATCAGACGCTGAGTACAGCAAGCTAGACGTGCCTGACGGTGGCGTGGCTGCAAAGTCGGGCGTATCGTCGGACATCGGGGCTGGATGCTGTGCTCCATTAACCAGTTGCGTACGGTGCTGCCATTAATTGGTCTCAACTCAGGAATTGTCCGAGGGATTAATATGACAGTTTGGTTTCGATTCCGTGGATGCACCAACTCATATGGTTGTCTTGTAGACGTGATGTCACACATGGACGACGGGCCCGTGGCATGTCATGGGTGTCGCCCTGCTGTAGGTAACGTCCGCAAAGAGATGATAATGTGTTTCGATGAACATTATATGTCTGGCAGCATTCGTGTAAACAGCATACCGACGGCATGGTTTTCAGCACGCTGTGGCACTGCATAAGTGTTATTTACTGTTTCGGAAAAGTATTTTTATGAGCAGCTGAATGCCAAACCATCATTTGTGTGATGTTTACATTTAAATACACGTTGTGCTCCAAACAAACACGCAATCGTCAAAATTGTGCGCCGCGTATACACATGCACGTGCAAATTGTGATCACGACCTTGAGGTCGAGGTTATGTCGAGGTCTGTATTTAAAGATGCATGATTTAATTTCAGAATAAATTTATATTTATTGAACTTTATATTATTAAACACAGTTACTAATTTTCGTTAGTACGTACACACTACGTTTCACTACGAAGTAGAGTGTTTGTAGTACACAATACCAATTGTGATTAAGCAATAACAGTTATGTCGGTAAAAGTGAAGAATAAAAGTCATAGCACGCGCAGATTCTCTTACAAGAGCCACTGACTGGCTTAAGTCTCCTCATTCATTGAATTCTTAATCATGTGACGATTTCGCGTTGAAGTGGAATCAAACCAGTGAATGCCTTGTCCTTATCCACACGTTTAATATACATTTTACTTTTTATGGAATGTCAATAACGTTCTGCCCAGACATCTTCAAATGCCGGATAGGGTACTGTGTAAGGTCAAAGAACGACCATAACAGTCGGCAGTTAATAGGAGAATTGTTTCAATATTCGTATGACCCTAACACGGAATTAAACTGTTATCCTATTCTACAGGGTGAATACAGAAAAACACGTACTACGAAATCTTGACGTGCCACAACACTGGAGTTCTTGGATCCCATTTATATGCATGCATCTATAGAGTAATTGTTGAAACAATTTCAGATGTATACAACGGGTCGTCTAAAGCAAATGCTTCAATGTGTCACCCAATAGTAACTATCAAATGGCAATATGTATGTATTACTAGTGTGTGTATATACTTAAAGTGAAAGGTACCACAGGTTTGACTCACGAGAACATCCACAAGAGCACTGTGTAATCCATAATAAGTGGGAGTACACAAATGTCTGATGATATGGACTTATTGTAGGGAAAGGACGCAATAACGGGATGAAGATACTGGTCGACAACCAGATGTGCTACAGCTGGCCAGCAACTAAAGAACCTCCCCCAGAAGCTAATGTCACCTGTCGACAGCCGCTGGCTGGAAACACGGTCACCATACGTACACCACGGGAATATCTCACTCTATGTGAAGTGGAGATATTTGGTATGTGTCAGGAAAGCCTTATACATGAAACTGAATACCAATCCCATGACATCCTTATAGACAGTAGTTTTGAAAGAAGCTCTGTGGCCGTGTATATCAACGTTGAAAGGGATTGACTGACACGTCAGTGAAATATGGCATTGCTTGAGATCTTCATGTTGGAATAATAATAACCTTGTATTTTTATGCAGTACTTCAGTACATTGTTGGGTTTACATAATAGTATATTTCTTTAATGTAAAGAAGCAACCCAGAATACATACATGTTTGATGCATTCGAATGAGCCTCCTAACTAACGTAACAGTAATGTTTGCTGCGAAGGGATCACTCACGACGTCAGTGTGTAGAGTTGGCCATGTTCAGTTTGCAGTGACGGCTGGTTTGGGGAGGATTGTGACAAACAGTGTCACTGTCTAGACGTGTGTGACAAGATCACAGGTCGCTGCCAGAGTGGATGTGATTCCGGATTCCTCGGCACAACCTGCCAAACACGTAAGTGTTGGGTTAGTTTTACTGTATGTGTTCAATGACGGGAACCCAATGTGTGTTTGTTGTTTTACGCTGCCGTCAGCAATATTGCAGCGGCGGCCATTTCATAATCATTTCAACAAATCATTGTTATCATTATAAGAAACGTCTTCAATGAACCCTGTTAATGTCAGCTATGCATATGCCTGGTTATGTACCGCATACGACAAGGAACTATCTACTTGTTAAATTCACATGACCAGGATCTGCTCACAATTCATCTGATTAGCGTTTTAAGGCGTGGTTCACTGCAGACTTTCTTTAATACAATTCTTACAATATGTTTATATAGCAGTGTGCAGATGTAAGTTTGATATTAACTTGATGACTGTTTCACATTGTTTTACATTGTATAGCATGCGACGACGGTCGCTATGGCAACCAATGTCAGCTTGAGTGTGGTCAGTGCACGTCAAGCCTTCCCTGCAACAAAGCCAGTGGGATGTGTGAAGACGGTTGCAATCCTGGATTTCAGGAGCCATTTTGTGTTGGTGAGGACATTGCGAGAATGTAACTTGTGGAGGTCACCATTACACAGATCCTTTATTTAGTGCAAAACTGTTTTGACCAGGAACACACAGATGTACACTGTGTGAATACAATAACGAATTGTTTTATGAAATCGCAGATGTTCGTCGTACACATCCTGTGGTATTTATGGAGGATCCACATTATTATCGCCAGTATACGTTCGGAATAAACTAGTGTGTTTTTGTGTCTGCCCTTTGTATTGTAAAAACTAATGTGAGTGTACATGCATGTCGCCTTCATTTGGGTATATATGTTTTTTTCTCAGTTCTAGGTGGCGACATGTAAACGCAGTCGTCATATATTTTTTATACCAGGAACAACTTCAATTGTTATGGAAGGACATGAAGTCAAATAAGTATGCTGAAGTTATAACATTCCAGAGTGACGTCATATCTGTCACGGACCGATTTTACGAACCCATAGAAAGAGAATGTAAACTTTGCGATAACCTTTGGTTATCTTTGGATAAGTATCATATGTTTTCAGATTGCAGATACTTAGAACTAACGTCGTTACAATGTTTGTGTATCGAATGGAATTTCCGGGGATCGAATACCCAACAACACCTGCAAATCTGAACACATTGTGTTTGTCCCCCTAATATCACAAGTAACAAACTATATTTTATTGTTAAGTAAAACAAGTGTCTACAATACAATACAATACAAAGCAGACAATGGATTATTGCGTAGACAGTGATGACCAGAACGGGTGTTTGAGTATAGCTTTGTGCCGCTCATAGCAATATTTCAGCAGTATCGCGACGGCGGACACCAGAAATGGGCTTCACATATGTTGCCCTTCGACGTGACAAGCAAACGCATACACCTCCAGACTACTCATCCGCCAGAGATGTGGTGAATATTATTAACCTACTCGTACGTGACGAGCGGTGAGTGGGTGGATGGGTGTATTTCGCGTGATAGCCCTACGAGCAGGATCAGTCACACCAGGGTTCGTCAAGTTCAAAGCTCAAACGTGGGAGGTGTTTCTAACTCGGTACTCCAGAAATAGACCAAGGAAAAGAATCTGGAATACGACCTTGCGACCAGCAGGTCCTTGGAGTCAGCGGATTCAACTGAAGCACATTGTAGATCCTGGGCCACGTTTCACTCATCGATATTTGAGCTACGACCACCGTAACTCCCATAAACATCGGTTTACTGTCGTAGCGCTGAAGTCACTTTGTAGGAGCGGCCCTAGGCTACCCCTGTCTCCACTTGGTATTCGTCATTGGTGAAATGTTATATTCCATTGCCATAGGACTTGTTATATGAAACATATCAATACTTCAGATCAGTGTGTGGCTGGGCTGTATGGATCTAACTGCACTTCACGATGCGGACACTGCAAAGATTCCCAGATCTGTAACAAAATTGACGGAGTTTGCCCTGGGGGATGTGCCAATAATTACAAGGCACCACTGTGCCAAGGTGAGAGCATGAATTTTAATGCTTATATATATTCGTGTTTTATTCAGTGTTTTGTAGGCCATCGGCCCATGTACATATCGATCCAAATTAACATGACATATGGCAGAGACAACTGTATAATATGAACAATGCAGACTACCGTTTATGTCAGGTTACATATTTCTATAATTATGAGATTCCTGAACATAGTACAATTTACGAGGGTATTTTAACAATTTGTTTTTTTACCAATATGGACTTACATATGCAGTGTAATATATTTTAGATATTTGCACAGTGTTCAATTAGTGATTCTCGAAGCTGATTGGTCAGTTAATCGCAGATCAATTTTCATTGGACAACAGGACTAGTTTTTCTCTCATTCCATTTACATTGAATTCACAAATCCACGGTATTCATTCATATGTTTTACGTGCTACAATCTCACTGATTCGAGATCTTTAAAACAAAAACTATAGTTTCATATCAACAGCTCGGAATTTAAAACATTAATTTCACTCGTGACATATTAACTGTAATCACTCGTACCTCGGGGGTTATTCTATAAATATTTCATAATATTTGACGTATTTGTATAACTTGGTATATACTTATTCCTTTACAGTGTATACACAGTACATTCAAACAGAACATTCAACATGTGAAGTAACAACGCCTTTTAGTGTGTATAAAGTCACATTTGTTATTAATTTGTCATCGTTTAATTTGAAGAACAAACACACGTATGAATAGTGTTTAAGCTGCGCTGATAGAGTTGTTTTGATTTGAATAGAGTCGTGGATATTCTGAGCAAATAGGTCCCCACTTGTTTCTGGTCAGCGGCGAAGACAAAGGCGCTCAAGTTTCCCCGATGTCCAAACATTCACCAGTACCGGTGTCACATGTATTCCGAGGGTCAGGTTAATCGGTTAATCAAAATAAATTATGCGTTACGTTTTAATCTTTCAATATAAGAGTATGTACGACTTTTCAATCTTTAGGTTTTTCGGTTCTAGGTGACCGACAATTCCATTTGATGAGCTTAAAGATCTACCTCTAAATTACACATTGCAAGAATGTTATTTTTGTGGCAGACATTTTTGTCAACAGTCTTTTCACGATCAATATATTTGTTGGTACAATTCACGCCTCTCTCTCTCTCTCTCTCTCTCTCTCTCTCTCTCTCTCTCTCTCTCTCTCTCTCTCTCTCTCTCTCTCTCTCTCTCTCTCTCTCCCTCTCCACCCTCAAGTATCAAATGGATGGCTGGTCCCTCACTTTCAACAATTAAGTTTCAATTCGAGTTTCAGTACCGGTTCAAAGTTGTGATGACGCAAGACAGCTGGCCTCTCATCTGACAGCAGCAGCATCAGCCTTAGGAGTTGTTATATTGATCATTGTTCTGGTGGGATCTCTGTACATCATACGGTGAGCAGACTCGAACACGTTTTACAAGGATGTGAAGTATATATTTGTAAGCTTGATGTTGGAGGAAAGCCCGAAGCGATGCAGGTCTTAGACGTTTACCACTAAGTGAAATCCACGAGCACGGTATGGTACTGACAAACCTATAAAACGTAATCGGACGTAAAACGGCCGGACGTGCTTCCTGTGTAAAGCAAGGCAAGGATGAACGACAGTCAGAAAGGGTAACGATATTCATCAATCGAAGTGCATAGAGAGATTAAGGCGGATGAATATATGCGCGTTAGAATTTGTCTTTGAATTCTTACAAAAATATCAATAAAAATCCCTAAAAACTAGTTATTGAAGCCTGTAGGATTTTCTTATTTTTTGATTTGTGGTATAGAAAACAAGTGCAACATAAATTGCTAACGAAATATGCCACCCGTGCTTCCTGTGTAAAGTAAGGCTGACCCGACAGTAAGGAAGAATGGCGATATTCATACATCGAATTAATACTTGTGAAATGTTGTTTGTAATACAGTCGTTTTATCGTCATTTTACCTACACTCATTTTTACAGCTTGAAGATGGACAAAAAAGCTTTAGAAATGGAACGTGACAACATCTCGTGTGCACCTTTGTGGATCAAGGAAGAGTAGGACAACGTGATATATCTACAATACTCATTGTCATCCAACTTAAATGTACTCCATCATTTGATATACTTGACAACACTGATGTAAGCTCTCCTTGTGTTGAACTTTCATAAATCGATCTTTCGGCTGTTCAAAACTGACTGGTTAGTGACAAGGTGACTGTCCTGTACTAAACATAGCATGTTGATGCGATCTAGTTTATATGTTTTGGTCTGTAAGATTAATGCTGCAAGCATACTAGTGTTTCATGACCTTCCCGATCTATTCTCAGTGTTATACGACTTTATATTACTTGATTCTTCCTGTGCATGTGCACACCCAATTGACTGCTTTCCGTTATATACTCACACTATACATAAAACATGAGGAGTGATTTGAAGTTTATAAGCGATCGTTTTGTCATTCAAGCTTATCGGATAAATCACCTTTTACAAACCTGACGCCAAGTGCATAGAGCGATGAAAGCGTTTCAATATATGCGCGTTAGAATTTAACTGCCTTTGAATTCTTACAAAAACATCAATTAAATACAAATAAATTAGTTATTCACACTTACTTGATTATCTTATTTTTACTTTTTGGTTTAGGAAACAAGTGTAACATAAATCAGAAACATGATTATGAAGTACACAGACATTAAATCGAAAGAGGATTGCTATTATTATTTTGTTTGTCAAAGCTTCCTAGTCAACCAGATTACATACTTCACCCTTTTAAATAACATACATTTGCCCTCGAACAACGCACAATATTTAATAATAACAGTCCCTTGACATTTGTGAGTTTTTATTTTATAAAAGTTATCCCATATATTATATACAACGGACAAAAGTATCAGAGAAGGTAAATTAAATAATTTTTAATCATTAATGTCCAACGAAGGATTTTAATTAACGGGGGTAACCATAATTTATTCCAAGCACCTACGGTATTCGGTAATAACTTCAACAGTTTAAATCATAAGTCCCAAGCACGAGAATCTGATGGCACACAAGTTCAGTACACATGATTGGGAAGACGACACCATTGTTGCTGCAAAATGGTGCCAAGATCTTGCAAATTCTGTGGTTGGTTCTGGAGAGTGCGCAGACTTCTGCCAAGAGCATCCCAGACGTGTTCGATGGGAATGAGGTCGGGAGACCTTGACGGCCAGTCCATGACGTTGACTCCCGCATTCTGAAGGAAATTCCTTGTCAAAATTGCTGTGTGGGGTCTGGCATTGTCGTGTTGGAAGATCAAACTGGGTCCATGTGCTGCCATAAAAGGCAGAAGTTCTGGTGCCAGCACCTGGTCGCGGTAAGCAGCAGCGTTGAGGTTGCAACGGATGACAAGAAGCCTGGAACGTGCATTGCCGAAGAAAGCACCCCACACCTCGAAATCTGTCAACTTCCTGTACACAACACTGGGCGTAACGTTCATGGCGGCGCCTCCACACCCTCGCCCTACCATCAGCAAATCGAAGATTAAATATCGGGATTCATCACTGAATACGACTCGATTCCAATTCCTCTGAGTCCTTCGTAAGTGTCGCTGTGCCCACAATTGACGTTGACGTCTGTGTAATTAAGTCAGAATCGGCCCGCACTATGGCCGTCGTGCTTGAAGGTGAGCAGTTCTCAGACTCCTAAACTCCTAAACAGTTCATTTCTGGTTGATGCAGCCGTCAAAAATCGGTTACGGGGTGACGTAAGGCAATCTGACGATCCTCTGCATGTGACGTCACAGGTGGTCGACCTGGCCGAGGCCGATCAGCGGTGGTACCCGTTTGCTGTAGACGCGTCTGCAAATCATAAACACAACCCATCGTCCTTGAGACTTCAGCTACGGACGTTTCCGTCTGCAACATGCCGATGGCACGTTCACGTTGCACATTTGAAAGGCGTGGCATGACAAATGGCCGTAAAGACTTTTGTTTTCTTGTGTTTTTCTTTTTTTGTTAATGACTGCTAACAAGTATGGCTGAAAACACGTGCGGTATTATGGCCACGTGATCAGTTGCACGTGAATAAACACTTTTGCCACTATAGTGCTGTGCACATGATTTTGATCGATTCACCTGCACAAAAACGGGTGTTATCTGAAGACAATATGTGGTCATGACTGTTTAAATACACAATAAGGGCCCACAATGATAACTGGTCAAAATGTTAAAATTTTAGGATTGTGAAGTTTTTAATTTGGTTCAGTATACTTCGTAACAACCAACAACAAATGTAGAGTAAATAGAATATTTTTAACGATATAAAAATCTCAACATTGACACAAGACCAACGTCACAAAATCCCCGGCCGTCTGGAGGGGGATCTCAACAATCAGGACATTGTCAAAAGGCTGTAAATGCGATACACAGCAACACAATAAGTGTCTCATAGGCCCGGCTTTACCACTACCGCACTGGAACGCTACATTAGAGTGAGTGAGTATGGTTTTACGCCGCTTTTAGCAATATTCCAGCAATATCACGGCGGGGAACACCAGAAATGGGCTTCACAAATTGTACCCATGTCGGGAATCGAACATGGGTCTTCGGCGTGACGAGCAACGCTTTAACCACTAGGCTACCTGACCGCCTCTCGCTACATTAGACTCCAGCACATGTCCAGGTTTTTTGTAAACATTACTAACTGTTGCTTCAAGTTTCAAACCGTGACGGAACATTCTGGAGAAGAGTTGGGCATCTTGAACTCCTGGTTGGTAGTTTATAATACAATGTTTGTAATACAAAGTGGGGAATTAAGTAACATACAAAGTATCTTTGTTTACAGGGAGGAGGTGAGGTGAGATAAGGTTTAAAGAGGCGTTGAGGATTATTGCACTTATATCAAGTCGCGCATGTGGGTGCGTGTGGGTGTGTGTTAGTGTGTGTTGGTAGCTTGTACTAGTTCGGACTTTATAGTGTTTGTTCACTGATAAAACATGCCACAGTATATCATGGATGCCACACTCGAATACGGAAAAATGACTCCGAGCCAAACGGTACTTCATCCTCTTAATGCCGAGCTCTGGGTAGGGAAACATAAAGTACACGCTTTACACGTCGCTGTATACCATAATTAAACGCTATTCTGTAAGATTTAAGGACTTCAAAGATTGAGAAACATCTCTCATTTGAACGTATCACTGTGTATACTGTATTGTAATGTGTACACAAGTAGCAAGACAACATCTCAATATCCCCTTTTAATTAATACCTCAACAATGTCAGCTTACTGGTGTTTCTGAAACAACAGCTGATTGAAACCATGCTTTCTTTGTGAGAACAGATATTGATTGAAGACTTAGTAAATGTTTTAAACATGATCAAACAACTTTTGAGCAAGAGTGGTATGAAGCTCTTTGGATCTGAGTAGAAAGAGCACTGTCGATTTAACTTAAAAGTGTAACTGTAGACTCAAGGCTGGAACTGATTGACTATAGCTCCATATAGAGGGGAAGTTGACCATTGGAAAGTTGAAATCCTCCATCTTCAGTCTTGTAGATAGTTTATTGTCAGTCTGGATCTTTATGCATAGACCTGAATAAGAAATAGATGAAACGGTTGCACTGGTCTCTTTTATTTCTAGTTCTCGTGGGTAAATATTACCAAAAATCTTTATCATAAAATAAAAATAATATATAAAATTATGGTTAGAGATGACAAAATCCTGGCAAAAAAGAAGGGACGTAATGACCACTGCAATGAAATACTGGTGATAGTATAACAGCGTGTTGATTCACAGACGCAGCAAAGTCTCCTTTGATATCCATATAAATTGTTTGAGACAATGTAACATAACAGTCTGACAGAATCATGATTTGCAGTGGTCTAATATAGGCTCTCGGCATCCAAAGGACCATTTTTCACTGTATGTGAAATGTGTGTGTATGTGAAATTTAAAACTGTTGTCCATGTCACACGACATAATGTTTACCTAATACAATCGACACTCGACAAGTTGGAAAACAATGGACTGATCTGAAATATCTTCTTATCTGCTTTGACAACAAGGGTTTCCAATCATTTCAACACTTACTATAGCTAACACCATTTGCAAGGAGATATTCTGAATTGCCGGTAAATAAAGATAAGTACAGACCTCAAATAACAATCATTGTAAGTGAGAAGTTTTTTTATAAGCTTACATTCAAAACCAGAGTGTTGTTTGATTAATTGTCTATGACTCAGGAGTACCAAGGGCATTTTACTGGTTCTTCTACTCTATTTAACCGGTTTCAAAAGTTGATAAATAATAAAGAGTGTTTTCAAAAGCCAACACATGTAAAGTAGGATGGGAAAAAAACAAACTTAAAACCGTAACTTAATTGAAACCCAGACTGGTGTCCGAAAATGGTTTTATAATTAATCTCCCATGTGCATATGACATATGGTTCAGAAAATCATGCCTTTGATCAGTCACTGTGTAATCTGTATAAAATGAATTTAATCACGAAAATGAATTTAATCACGAAAATGTGCTTCACCTGCAGTACGACGGAAACTGACATAAGGGTAACAAACATCGTGACATTTGCTCAAACGGTGCTCATTTGCACAACCAGTTGCAGTAGATCACAACCCTCGGTAGGTTGCAGACTGGGGCTACACATTACCATGTTGTTAGGATTGTCGGCGTTATATTTAGATTGATGGCCCCTTGAGACAGACAGGGCGACAGTGGACACCAGCCCCTACATGATCGGTATTTATGTCTTCGTCATCGCAGAAACAGATTCATGATAGTGCCATCATCAACAGCAACTAGCTTCGGACATCAGTGACTCGCAGAATGGTGTCGTGAAGAATTCGTCGTTACGACATAAGGCTTGCAAACCTTACCGGGTCGTAACGTTGACATGTCAACACAGACAGGAGTATTGTCGGCAGTACAGTACAGCAATGGCACTTGCAGCAAGCACTATTTACAGAGGAGAGTAGATTCCAGTTCTTCAGGCCTGATGGTAGAGTTTGTGTCCAATGACGAAGAGGAGAATGGCACAGTGTTGCGTCTAGGACATCGAACAATTTGACAACGGCAGTGTCATGGTTTGGGGCGGGATGTGCGGTCAAATGTAGACGAATCTGGTTGTGTTTGACACCAGACTTAAGTGTGACTTCATTGTCCTAAAGTGACCTCTTTTGAGACCTCCCATCCAATGTTGTGTGATCCAATACAGAACAACTAACCCACGTCACCTAATTACGTCTCTAGATTCTAGATTCTGATTTTGAGTCGAGACAATGGATTGTTTTGGTGCTATGTGATGCCATAAATAGATGAACTGTCATTGAATTGTGTCTTCATTCGGTGAATACGACTTCTTTCTTGGTGAAGTTTCTTTTGCACCTCAATTTATCGTTAGATCCGTGTTTCTACTTAACAAGTGTCAACAAGTGTTATCAAGAGTATATAATTCAATCAACAAATAATTCATTATATGTACTAGATATTTATTAAGAAACAACGATATACTTGACATACTTTGTAGCTAGTTTTACAGCAATACGTAACCTGTCTGAACCAGAATAAAAATTGATTCATTCTATGCGGACCGTCCAACACCGCCGGAGAACGATGTCACGCAATCAATCAAGTCTGAACAACCGATACATGTTATTGGATCTTACGGCATTGAAATACATTTTCATGTACAACTGTACTGTGTCAATGCCCACGATATTGAATAAGTGTAAAAAGATGATTAAAAACACGTTATGTTGTTTATCAAACAATAGTCATCCAATACTTTAACTAAAGTGAAGCAGTTATGGCCTATGAAAAGCTCGTTTGAACGCTCAATGGTAAATGACAGATTCAAATAACTCACTGTACTACATTTGCATTACCAAATCATACATTATGCACATCAAACACTTGACATGGCCGTTTGATCTGATATGATCATAATTTGACAAATAGAGTGAGATATTATAATGTATATCTAATACACGCGAGACATGACATGTACGATGAAAACAACTGAACCATGTGAACCAAATTGATATCTTATATAATGAACATTGTTACAAGACATTAACAGTTCTCCGCTTACATGACTTTAGCAAAGCAAGGGAAAGTTTTGAAGTATTCCTCATCTGCATTATCTGGCTTGATGATGGGTTGCTGGACCATGTTATATCTCTGGAGAGCAGCCTCCACATGTTTGACTACGTGTCTGTGCAACTGTCTGATTGTAGCATGTGTTTGCCCAGGTTCCAGCTCTTTCTTAACTTCATTATTATTGACAACATCAATTATGGCTTTGGTAAAGACGCTTGACTTCAGATCATATGACGGTTCGTCGGGACTTGAAGACGACCACTGGACAACCTTCACGGGATTATCTCCCTTTCCCCCGATCGCACCTTTTGCTTGAATACCCTTTCCGCTCATTATTAGTTCCCACAACCGAGGAACTATATATGAACTTTCCTTGTCTTCAACCTTCACTTTTCCTGGAAATCCATCCGCATGCTTCGCCCCGACATCGGCTCTGCCACTGTAGCACATGTCCAGGATCAGCAGCATATGCTTGGCAGGAATTGTTTTCAGCTCATCTGCCAGATCTTTATCCTCAAGGTGGTCAGGAGAAAGATCATCCCTTTCGTCTACAATAAACTGGTGTTCTTTGGTAAAGTGGCCTGAATAGTAGAAAATCAAGTTGCCATCCGTTGAGCCTTCCAGTTCCGCTTGGAAATCCTCAATAGCCCTTTTTATTTGCTTCATGGTTGTTAGTTTAGTGTCTGGTTTACGACATACTGACCGCAGTTTGTGCTCGCTGCAAATATAGAATGATTGTTAAATTTATTTACACTTCAAACCATTTCGTGTGTTATTTTTTGTTCACTGTGGTTGTATTTTGACAGATAGGGTAGCCTGTTATATCAGTCAGAAAACATGACATATGAATTGATAGTGGGTTGCAATCTTATCGGTGTTGCATTGACGTATAAGTGACGTCTCGTGACCAGGCTAGAACCCTACTCAAATCTTTTGTAAGATATCCGCAGGACAATATTAATAACTCCATAGGATATTAGTATTTTGACATTTTGATTTTTTGAATGCGGATGAGAGTGAGATGATAAGTTTTATTATGATGCATACAGATACATATAGAATACTAAACGAGCCCCCGTGTAATACCAATTTTATGAAACGAGTGAATAGTTGTGGTATTTGACGAGCGAAACCGAGTTAGATACCACAACTATTCACGAGTTTCATAAAATTGGTTTTACACGGGTGCGAGTTTAGTATTTTATTTATTACTTGCCATTTATAACGTTTTTAGAATTATACTGTTGAGTATGAATAGGCTGACACCTACACGATCCACGGCATAGTCCAATTGAGTTTAACAGAATAATACTTCAAACACGTCAAAAGTTGAAACGAATGAATTTAATAATACAACGGTCCACCTTTAGAATTCAGGCGTCCGTTCCACAAAATTATCGTAGGGCTAAGACTATCGCAACTCACAGACTTAACTTAAAGGTTGCTGGGTCATCGCGTGTGCATAAGCTCCTCTCAGTGATCTATCAACTCCATACGCAATGTCGTTGAATAAGCCAAGGGATGTTGAGAGCTTTCAATATTTGTTCGTGAAACGTGTTCCGAGAGTACATACGCACGCGTTTTGGTATTACACAATGTGTAATACAGCTGTATGTTTATCAAACGGGTGATCTCTTCACGGGCAAGTAATAAAGTTAATTCCTTTGTGTTTCTTAATTCTTGTAAAACAAGAATATTTACGAATCACTGTACTGAATGTTTCATTCTTGCTCAAGAGCAACAAGATGTACCTCAGTCCAATCTTCTCACTTGTCAATAATGTTTTCATCAGTTCCACATCGTTCCTAAATATTTCTGAGTCTTTCCCCGACCCAGATAAAAGCAGGGCTACTGTTTTTCCATTGCCTGTCAACAGTTTACAAATGAATAGTCATGTACATGTATAGACGTTCACACACATTAGGTAAATTTCAACAATTTAATATAATTTGAACAAATGAGATAAATTTATTCAAGAACAAAGATTAAAAGTTTACTTACACAGGGCCCGGTCATCAAAAGCAAAAGATCTAAATTGAAGTTTCAAGTTAATAACATCCCTGTTCAGAAACAGTTAAGCAGTCCAAGTGTTGAAAAAGTTTAGCTGTCCAACAGTTTACCCCACATCATCCTCTTAACTTGTTTCCGTTCACCATTAAACCACCCACCCATCTCAACCATTCTTTTAAGTCATGTTAGTTCTTAATTTGATTTTTTTCCTAAAAGATTCTGAAGAAGGGAACGTGTAAGCATATCTTTGAATCTAAGGAAAGAAGGCAAGTTCATAAATATAATTATATAACATCTAAAGTCACCATTCATTGAGTAATGGAACATGGAAATTTTCCTTGAGTTTGTATAATACAGCTCGTACGTACCTCTTCTTTATTCAGTAAGATTGGCAGATAGATAAATTACAATTCGGTTTACCCTATAACAAATTTTAGTTCTTTCTTAATCCGGGGTAGAATAGGTCTTCCGCAACCAATGCCGTAACAGGAGACTATGCTTGTCGTAAAAGGCGACTAACGGTATCGGGTGGTCAGGCTCGCTGACCTGGTTGATGCAAGTCATCGATCCCAATTGTGTGGATCGATGTTCATGGTGTAAATCACTGGTTTGTCTGGTCCAGACTCGATTATTTACAGATCGCCGTCATGTGGCTGGAATATTGCTGAGTGCGGCGTAAAACAACAAACCAACCAACCAATTTCTTTCTTAAATAAAATATTATATATTATTTTTAATATGCTCTATGACTTTATTTTGAATATGCAACTTGGTCAGGTTATTTTTAAATCAGATTTAAAGTTTCATATATCATAGATTTGCGAAAAACATCATACCAGATGTTGAATATCAATAACTAAACATGGTTGGCAAATGGATATAAACTCTGAAGCTATACTGGTAACATGAAATAAATTATTTTGATAAAAAAAACAACACTGGTCAAGATCTAAGTAGATGTATTACATTAATCATACAGACAATCCTGCCATGCCTGGCATATATCTCTTAATTATCCCCAACCGTCCCATGATGAGATTCGAACCCCAGACCTACAGATCTGAGATCGGATGCCTTGTCCACATAACCAGTCATCAGTATTCCCCGCCATTCCCGCGTGGATGCCTGAATTGAATCCACTCACCTACCCTCTCTCTCACTCAAGTTAAAAACTGAAAAGCTTACCATCAACCCCCGCCACACAACACTGAAGTTTAAGATCCTAGATCTGCTTTTCAGGATGTTGTATATATTAATAATATGGAGACTCGTACAGAAAGTCGTGATCTGGAATTTGACATAAAAGCATTTCCCTTAACGCGCACCTATTGGAGAGATGCTGTCAGTTAAAATCTCTATCTCTTATCAGCTAAAATGCCTGCTTGAGAGTACTAGTCTGCAGTGAATGGCTGTGCAGCATTGCAGTTTGGATAATATAATAAACCCAAATATTTATCATTTAATAGAAATGTTTTCCGGTTGTCATTAAAAATGAAACACTGGAGATCGTTCTGTTGTTTCTTCCAACTGCAGTCGGGTTACTGTTACCCCGGTAGGAGGTCGGATGTCAGTGACGATGTTATCGCTTTGAGGAACGGTGCCCTGGTCGGGCCGATGTAGTGTTGCTATCTGAATAAGTGTATATGTGTTTATAGGTTTTCGATAGTTGATGTAATGTCTCTAGTGTCTGTAGTTTTTGTCCACTTACCAAAGGTGAGTTGATCAACGTTACGCTCTAAACCTAATGGAATAAAACAATGTCAATAGAGATGGATAATAATGTATCTGAATCCACATATTTTACTGAGATGCTAGCAAAACGTAAATCATATTACTTGAGTTGAAGTACACGTAATGGTCGATTTTGTTGCCCCATACTCGTTCTGTAGGCATTCAACCGCATGCTAGTTACATCTACATATGCGTGACATACCCACAAGGAAGAAACTCACACACATTAATACTGGATGAATAATATGTTTGTCAAATATATAATTGTTATCAAAACATAATCAACCATATATGTGTCTTTTCTCCTATGTGAATTGGATGTAAACATTGGAACATCTCGTTTGCGAATGATCATGATCGAATATATCTTTTAAATAGTTATCAGTCACACAACCCGCAATCCCCTACGCACCGACCAGACCAGATTTTTCCAATTCAACAGAAACACCCTTAATCACCTTTTGATGCATCACCTTTTGATGCATCTCCTCGTTTAGCTGATGTAGCGGATAACGTCACTGAAATACAATAATTAAAAGTAAGCAAACTCCACGTATGTTTTTTTGCAGATGGCAGTGTCATAAAGCGGCGCTTGGAACCGATATTTCAAGTCTTGGTTTCGCAATGTTAATAGTTTCCTTTGTTTTATCGAGACACTGTCTCCATTATTGAATAAGCATTACAAGTTATTCAGTCATTAAACTTAATAATGAGTAAAATATTTGGGATGATTGCCCGGGACTTTGTACATCACACAATGTATATTTGTTGTTCCTGGTTGTTTAAACTTAGTATCTTAGTTTAATAATTCTTTAGAAAATGTATTAAAAATATATTTTTCAACAATCCTTTATTAGATGGTGTTGAACTGATTCATGTTGTCACAGATTTCTATGCCACGACCAGTCCTTTGAACCCAACTGCATAAGGTTTTATGGCTCTGATTATTTGCGACTGCATGTCATGACTGACCTAGTTTGTGGTCAATTCCTGCAGCAACTGTTCCATCATGGCTCTCCCCTCCAGTTTGTGCAGCTTCAATGTATGTAGTACCTACAAGAAAGATGAGGTGGTACTGAAGCAATCATGTTACTGCATGTTAGTGTCATGTATAAAGCATGGCACGTTGTACGCACTGATCTTAAAGAACCACAATTCGCTATGAACAGCTGCCAGTATCCGACAGAACCAAAATCTCGCCATAAAAATAAACAACTACGAACTGCATTACTTCCTCCCTCATTGACCTGTCATATTAATCTAGTGAGTTACTAACTCATTGTTGTAATGAAGTTTACGACGGGTAGAAGAGGAATAAGCATGCGGCAGCCAAACAAAATTCTTTGTGATTTCGCATGAGAGTTTGCCAAGGCATGGAAGTCATCAAAGTTGTATTATACACACAGATATTATATACTGCTCTTGTACCACTCGACACATCGACACAAAGTATCTTGTGTGCGCGCTTACCTTCCGCTAACGTAGTTTCTCCTCCTATTGCAGCTGCGACTTTGCTGCCTCTATTTACCCCACCTGTTTGGCCAATCCTCACAATGGTAGTCTTAGGCTGAGCTGGATCTACTATATATTATAAGACCAAAAACTAATTTATACATGGAATATCAATGTATGAAATGTAAAAGATTATTCATCATATGAGAAGTGTCTCCGACGACTCATGCTCCAAATCATTGAAAGCTTCAACTAGTGTAAAGAAGTCTTTAAATGTAATAATGTGGTGCAACACAAACCTGTACATGTCTTACTGCTGCCCATAACTGCTGCCACGATGCTGCCGATTGCAGTCCCACCCGACTGACCACATTCTGTGACAACTGACCTACCTGTGTCACATCCATCAAAACATATTAGGCAATGAAACAACAGATCCTGAATATGATTCCGACAAAGACTGAGAAAGAAGATTGTATATATTCCTTGGTGATACGGACGTCACATCGGCTGTTTCAATCAGTGGTGCTTATTGTGATTTGATACTTCTGATTGACCAATCAGAATGGAGTATTTCCCAAAATCATGGAAGAAACATTGGCGAAACCGCATCATCAGTGGTTCGAGTGTCGAAGGGAGCTAACCATAAATACACGTTGGAGCTGTGTTGTTTAGTTACGTATCCGAGAAAACCATGGCGCTGAGAAAGCGGTAATCTGTCACTCCATTCATCGAACAACAGTAGTATTCTTTACGATTGTAAATTGTAAGTAAGATTGTAAGTGTTTGTCAACATTACTGAATTGTGGATCACTTTCTTGTTGTTTTTTGTGTCTTTATAGAGTTTTTCTGAGTAGTCCTACATTTCAAAGTCTCAGCCAGTGGCGTCATAGATAGTGTGGGAACTGTTCGATAAAAGAAATACCCTCATGACTATTAATGAGTCCACGGCCTAGTTTGGCGGGGAAAGTGTTCGTGTCGTTTGCTTTTGTTTTACTTTATTTGTACTATTTCCTGTTTTTTGAGTGAATAAAGACTTTGAGATTGAGTTTATAAGTACATATTTCGGCAGATATCTTTGATCTCGAGTCGATTGAGTTCGTTCGTTTCGTATGTGAGTCCACTTTGCCCGTACGATGGAGTGAAATAGAGTGACTTCCCTTTGAACCACTGATAATGCGGTTTCGCTGAAACATTAATTGTGCAAAACTTATATTCATAATGTTTATGAATATATGACCATCTAAAGATGGCATAACAGATTACCATGTTAATAAACTGAAACCATATGTTGTTTACATCAGGTCCAGAAATTGTCCCTTGACATCACCCAAGCATGACCAAGTGTCACACCTACCGATTACTGGGTGTGCTACGTCGTCATATGTTTACTGATGCTATCACCTGGACTAAAATATATATGGAAATGAAATAAGAGATCTTGAATGTGCATGAGATGTATTAGACAATGAGATTTGCTGTCTAGAGTTGCGTCCCTTAGCGAGCCGTGATCATAGGATCGTGGGTCGGTTAACATCCGTGTTTACCAGTTTTATCAACGTGGTAAGGTATTTGGTATCTTAGGGAAGTTAGGATCTTTCCTCCGAATTAAAACGACCCGCTGTGTCATAACTGTAATATTATTCAAAGCGACGTAAAACACAACTCACTCACTTCATCAGTGTACCAGATACTATGATTTATAAGCGACATTCCATTTACTCGCGTTATGGTAAAGCCATCATAACAAAGCAGCTGGATCAGCTGACTGCAACACCCATACCAAGTGTTGATGGCCATCTCTGTTCAAGAAGCATTTTGCAAAATAATTTACAAACGTCGTTAAAAGAACTTTATTTCATTCTTCAAATAACATGTTAATGATTATCTATGTAATCAGATACATTATGGTGGCCATCTCTGTTCAAGAAGCATTTTGCAAAATAATTTACAAACGTCGGTAAAAGAACTTTATTTCATTCTTCAAATAACATGTTAATGATTATCTATGTAATCAGATACATTATGGTGGCCATCTCTGTTCAAGAAGCATTTTGCAAAATAATTTACAAACGTCGGTAAAAGAACTTTATTTCATTCTTCAAATAACATGTTAATGTTTATCTATGTAATCAGATACATTATGGTGGCCATCTCTGTTCAAGAAGCATTTTGCAAAATAATTTACAAACGTCGGTAAAAGAACTTTATTTCATTCTTCAAATAACATGTTAATGTTTATCTATGTAATCAGATACATTATGGTGGCCATCTCTGTTCAAGAAGCATTTTGCAAAATAATTTACAAACGTCGGTAAAAGGACTTTATTTCATTCTTCAAATAACATGTTAATGTTTATCTATGTAATCAGATACATTATGGTGGCCATCTCTGTTCAAGAAGCATTTTGCAAAATAATTTACAAACGTCGGTAAAAGAACTTTATTTCATTCTTCAAATAACATGTTAATGATTATCTATGTAATCAGATACATTATGGTGGCCATCTCTGTTCAAGAAGCATTTTGCAAAATAATTTACAAACGTCGGTAAAAGAACTTTATTTCATTCTTCAAATAACATGTTAATGTTTATCTATGTAATCAGATGTACTATGATAATCAACCACCGAGCAACAGATTTAAAAAAGAGAGCCAATATAACCTCGATTCAAATGTTCTATATGTATTTATACATGTACGATACCTCTTGACTCTGATCCTGAATCTGAATCTGAATCTGAATCTGAATCTGTGTCTGTCATTTTCTTCTGTCTTTTTCTTTTGCTTGCCATTATGTACCAAGCGTAACACGGGTGGCCTTCAAACTAAAACGCAAATGACATAGACATTAAAACTCATGAAAATATCGGGTATTATTCAAAACGAAACAGAATAGCGACGAGCAATCGATGAAATTCATGCCCTTTGTTAAATATGAATCTTTTATGTCAATATTGAGAAAATAGTTTCAAGATTCATTCTATTGACTAGAATCGCCCGTCACATGTGGGAAAACGAACCCTTGCTGTTCGGCGTGACAACCACGTCTCTTTAACCACTTGGCTCCATTGTAGACGTCACGAAATACATCACATCTGCCATTCAGTATGCTCTTTGTCAGATATAGATTTTATAACACATTTTAGTGAAAACATACTTAGCAGTTGAAACCATAGGTTCACATTAAAACAAACGTGAGAGGACATATACTCGCGGGCGTACAACTGTTATGACAACACCTATTCCTCCTTGTAACATGCCTTCCCATAACAGTGGTTTGTTTGAACCTTCCGTGATTTCGAAAAATCGCCACAGATGAGACACCCGACATAGATGAAAGTCCGACTTGATGTGAAAACAATTATAGTTTATTAGAATGTACATTATTTCTTCAGTCACTGTTATATTGTTAAACATTGTGCCACGTCCACAAACATGAGCACAGTTCTGGTTTATTATTGACACTGCGTTATTATTGCCTTATTTAAGTCACCTAGTATACCCGGAATGACTCACTACATTCGGGTTTCAGAATGATGAATAACATTTCATACTGACAATATGATCTGCTAACGTTAGTCATGTTATATACATATGTGTCCCCAATTTGTGTATCAGGATCTTCCTATTATACTCTATATATCTGCGCCAATGAAGATCCACCGACCTGACCCTGCTGTCTTACTCTACATCTGAGTGCATTGAAATCCAGTGACAGTGACCAGTGACCGAGCTCTACGTCTGCGAGAGGATTCGACGACCGGACTCTCCCTTTCTCCCCTACATCTGCATGCAAGCGACCGGCCGCTTCATCTGCGTGGAGGTTGAACGACGCAAACATCCAATACTACTCTACATCTGCGTGGAGGTTGAACGACGCAAACATTCAATACTACTCTACATCTGCGTGGAGGTTGAACGACGCAAACATCCAATACTACTCTACATCTGCGTGGAGGTTGAACGACGCAAACATTCAATACTACTCTACATCTGCGTGGAGGTTGAACGACGCAAACATTCAATACTACTCTACATCTGCGTGGAGGTTGAACGACGCAAACATTCAATACTACTCTACATCTGCGTGGAGGTTGAACGACGCAAACATCCAATACTACTCTACATCTGCGTGGAGATCCAACCCGGACCCTGCTATCCTGGTCTAAAACTGCGCGGCGATCCGGCAATCGGACACTCTTATCCTGCTCTACACCTGACGGCATGTGGATCCAGCGATCTCACCCTGCTGTCCTATTGTACATCTGCTTGGAGACCCGGCGATCGGACACTGCTATCCCCCTTGACATCTACGCGAAGACCAGGCGACCGGGCCCTGTCATCCCAACTCTACATCAGCAAGCATGGAGATCCAGCAATCGAAACCCTGCTATCCTACATTACGTTTTGTGTGTAGACCCGATGATCACTCACTGCAATCCTACTCTACATATATGTGTAAAACCAGTGACCAACCTCTGCCATCCTACTTTACATATGTGTAAAAATACAGTGACCAGCCCCTGCCACCCTACTCTGAATCTGTATGTCGGACCAATGACTGGCCCCTACCATCCCACACAACATCTGTCTTTGGACCCAGTGACTTGTCACTGTTATTCTCCTAAACATATGTGTGTAGACCCAGTGACCAATCCCTGTCACCCTACATTACATAACTGTTCGATAACTGTTAAAAATGTCGGAAACGTTGTATCGCAATAGTTGGACCCGATAGTTGGATGTATTAAATATATACAGTCCTTTTTGCTTTTTAAGAGATTGCTGAAGGTATTAACACATGGATTGTTATGTTTTATGATTATCCTGTCCACATGAATTACAGCAAGTGGTTTACTTAATGTCGAAATTGTGTCGGCGGTAGCGATTGCACAACATGGCGGAACAGGAAATAAAATTACTTTTCCAGGTAACATGCTTTACATTTACCACACAAGTCGCCACACTATGTCCCTTGTAACTAATACAAAGTCTATAAGACCTTAACTATGTACATGTACATCATACACTACGTACTTGATGTGAATCCTGGTAGAACAGATGATAAGGCCTGGAAGCCAGTCACGCGCTAGGTTCAATGAAAGCGAGGCTCATCACCTGTGTGTAGTCACGGAAAGTAGTCACAGTATTGGGAAAACCCACGTGATCTATGACCAAAACTAATACTGTACATGAAGTGAAATATTCGGATAATAAGGTAAGGAGGTTCAACACCTGTGTTTTTACATGTATTGCGTTAACTTCAAAATTAACTTTTACTTTGTATGAGTTCATTGGAGTACATTTTACCACCAATTTTGTGATATAAACACCAAGTGAATTCCTAGAAATCCATGAATCTCACAACGATGAATGTATGCATGTTCAAAGCAGCCTACAATACTGTATGGTTCTTTGATAATAACTGATATGTTCATGCAATAGTTTCATTAGATAAACCTGTCATGGAAGTACAAAGTGAGATGATTATTAGCTGAATCACCTGTAGGTTAAAGTTGAATATATTTATAGATGATTTTGGAAGAGATGCGTTACTCCTTCAGCGGACCATAACTTGACTAATTTGATAATAATGTCCACATAGAATAGATTGATACCTACGTCATGCATAGCTTCGTTTCGTCTAAGTAACAACGTTGAGTTTTTGTGAAAATAATCTAGAAGAGAACATGTGTGCACTGTTGTCAAGACTAGAATGTATAAGGACTATTCACAATGTTTTCTTTAGTAGAGGCTGCCATGGTATAATGATGAATGTGGATATTATAGATGAAAGCGTGAAACGTTGCTTGGAGTGTTTAGATTGTGTAAATGTGATAGCAATTTGAGAGATTATATAAACGTAGGGAATTGTTTTTCATCTCTAGTTAGTAATAAAATGTGTATATATGTGGATAAGATTGGAAATAATCTAGATCTAACCTAAAAAATAGACCTTTTGGTTTATCATTAGGAGTTTCTCGGGTGCTCCCCTTTCTGTTCGACTCAGTATATCCCAACAGGAACGGTAATTTTATTTCAAACATAATTGACGACATCGATATTTTTGTTAAGACAGACATCCCGTTTAGATACCATCCCAGATAGTGTTGCATCTACTGTAGATAATTCGGATTCACTATTTACACAAGAGGAGGAGAAAAATCACCAGGGTGTGATTGGATAATAGCTGAATTGTTTAAATATTCTCGTGATATTTTATTGCCTTTTCTTTATTGCCTTACTAAATGGACTGTGTAGTGAACATTTTTCAATTGTTCTAGATCATATGATTGATAAAACCACTACACAAAATGGGGGATTTAAACTATAAAACTAAATACAGAGGTATTAATGTCCTGAGCATTTTCAGTCAAATATATATTTAATTTTTTAATTTTTGAAAAATAGATTACAGATTTTGGGTGATGTGTATGAAAATGAAATCAGAATCGTACTCTGGCTTTCGCAAGGATATTCTATTATGAATAATATAATGTATTTGTCTTGCAGTCTGTAGTTGGTCGCCTTTAGGATAAAAAGAAGGGTAAAGTGTTGGCTTTATTTGTTGATTTTCCAAAGGCTTTGATTTGCTATACGGATCTACATTTAAATAATGCGCAGTTTTAGAACATGATGCAGTGTCACCTAAAATAGTAGGTTGTATTAAATCAATTGATTGATAGAGTTAAATCATGTATTAAATACAATCATTTATTTTTTTGAAATGTATAACTGTAATGTGGGGGTACGACCGGGGTGTGAGTCCATAATTAATAATGATTTAGCTGATAAGAAGGACGTTCTTGTTAACTGGGTATTCTGTTATTCATCTACTGTTGCTACTGCCTATGATTTGATTCGTATCTCTCATTCTGTTGCATATATACAGAGGCGTATAAATGCATTACAACAATACTGTAAAGAATACCTATTATGTGTAAATTTTGAGAAAACAAAAGTTGTTGCCTTTAAAGCTGGAGGAATCCTTTCAAGTAGTGGAAGTGGTATTGTTGAGATAATCTTATTGAATGAGTTACTTTTCATCAAGGTGTATTCTCAAGAAATGTATCAGGTAATTAACACTAGAGTCGTAGAAGACTCTCTATATATTTTGTGTCTTAAAATGTTTGTCGAAATTACGACCTCTACCATATACTATTTTCTTTGTATTTGATAGTAAGGTTGTGTCAATAGTCTTGTATAGTGCCAAAGGTGATTGCGATGTTGTTATTGAAAGAGCACAGATGCAGGCATGTACATCTTTGTCTTGGTGTCACATTGTCAACCTCGAATCATGTCGCTCGTGGTGATGTGAGAGATATCCATTATTTATTTATGGTAACAAGCGTTGCCTAACATATAGGTATACATAGGTATACATTGTTATCCACACGTCTGCCGAAGAAAATATCCTAATATGTTAATGTTGGATATGATACATGGTAACATTAATTGGGCTTACAAATTAAAAGTATTAAATTTAGATTGGGATTTGGCTATGTTTAGGAGAATAAATGTATATACAGTATAAATGCTTTCTTATCAGAAATTGTCGATAGAGCCAAATGTGGTTATCATTGAGATTGACTTGCTTCTCTGTCTCTTATTCCAAAGGCTATTGGTTATTCTTTGTATAAAGCAAGTGTATGCCATGAGCATTATGTCAAACAAATTTCTATAAAAATATATTAAGTGTAGCCTCAGCTAGGTTCAGATGTAGAGCGTACAACAAGAAATTGTAATTGGTAGCTTTACAAATCTGCTTAGACAAGAAAGATTTTGCAATATATGTAAATTGGGCTCAGTAAAAGATGTATATCATTTTCTGCTTGTTTGTAAGTCTTATGTTGAACTATGTGATTTTTCTATCCCAAGTAAATACTCGACATTTCTTACTATAGATAAATTAAATGTATTGATCGTCATTGATAATGTTGATCGATAAGAAATCTAGCAATGTATATCTTTGTAGCATTCTCATGAAAGTCCGGTCGTCCAAAGTAAACACCGTCTATCATGTGGACATTAACTGTCTTCTAGACATTGAATTTGTTTTGATCATTTTTTCATATGCGCAAATGCGTGTAATGGGGCCTTGACTGTCTACAAACAGCTCCTGTGCAAACAGTCCAAGATATACGAACAAAACAGTTTCCAAGGGCCTGACCTAAACATGATTCAATTCACATCGCACTACCACTGACGCTTTGTGTTAGAAAACCATCACACTGACCCAAACGGTCTGACCTGGGCTCGAATTCTCAATGGCCATCACACGCAACAGCGCCTTTCACTCCAACTCTAAGTCACTGATATAATCTCCACACATTTAGACATTGCAGCGTACATACCGTCCAACCCTACTCTTACGTCTGCAGTCAAAGCAAATGAATAAGGTTGACATGACTTGAATCAAGTGACGCTCCAGCGGGTAGAGATGTTACGTCGACTCGCGACGACAAATACCACTGTGCATTGAGCTTTAACATTCATTCTTTGCTATGAGAAAGAAAACACGCAAAAAGACGTACACGAGTTGCCGCTCTTATCTGTAGTTATTCGGCCCCACCGGCTCCTTCTGTTACCTGCACACTACCAGAATTCAAAGATACACACGACCACCGATGACGCCCAGCATGTTGTGTAATATTTGCTAGACGGGTGAAGCTAGTGGATCCATTATCAGTAGGGAGTTCTCCCAAGGCTGGACGAAGTGACATGTGGAACAATCTGTTCGCTGTTTACAACTAGTGTCAACCCACTTGGTCACTACAGCTGGTATCCTGAACACACATGACAGGAAGCCTCAGAGAATACAACGTCAACGTAGCTTCTTACAATCAGACCAAAGTTACATTTTTATGATTGTTACTGCATAGGCAAATTATTCTGAAGTTCAAATATCATGTATCCCGCTGATCTTTCTACCAATGCAAAAATTTTATACAGTTATATGATTATAATTATTATCCAATGCAGTTGAGATAATATGGATGTGATTACGTCTTCTGCCAGCAATATGTCCGTCTGAGGCGACGCGATTCGCTGTGCAGAAATACGTCCCTTGGGCACGCCAGAAACCTATGATTGTGGGTTCGAATCCCGGTTCTCCCCGATTATGTTTCTAGGTTTGTTAGCACCATACCCGTGTTCGTGGGTTTCACCGAAGTGGTAAACGTCTGAGACCTGCATCACTTCGGGCTTTCCTCCCACATTAAGCTGACACGCCGTGATATGACTGGAATACTGTTAAAAGCGGCGTTAAACCCAACTCACTCACCCACTCAATTGAATTGTCGGACTTGTTTCGGAATAACGCAGGTCCTCAACATACCTCGTGGACAAGTGAACAGTTCTCTTAAATCTCAAATGTAAAAAGTCAATTTCACACGCCACAGTGCTTTGTCATAACAAATACCCAGCCATAAAAATACGATACTGACGCCGTGCTGAAACTGTAATGTGTATACTGTAGCAACGGCGACACTTACGACAAATTATCAAAAACGTAACTATTACATGTTTTGAAACACTGAAAGTACATTATCCCGTCATTTAACCACTTTTGTATAACATGTACTTCTAAAAGTCTTTATTGCAATCCTTGGTTAAGATAGATGCTTACCATTTTGAGTATTACCGGTGAAGGAGGCCAAGCCCAATCCCCGGCTCAAATAACCCCCTTTGACTTACTTTGCAACAAGAACTAGGGGATATTTTGTTTTGAGGTGACACAACAGGAAACTCCAACGATTATCTGGAAACGAAAGTAAGTGATTTATGTGGCAAGAACATTTCCGAAGATATCAAGCTCCCAAACACAACATTGTGAAGCACGTGCAATTTACCATTGTCTCTCCTGGCACCAAACGCTCAATGATGCTTCATGAAACACATTTAATCAATAAAGAAGCAACAACACTGATCACAAGACGTTCGCAACGTGCTGAACGTTTACGTGCGATAGGCATGTTGCACGTGGTCATACGTCAGAATATTGTAGCCCAAACGCTGCGAACAGCAGATTGCGGGCCCAATACCAACAAACACATAGCGTCAATAATCGATCCCGCGCTGGACGCCCAATGTCAGGTTAGGGCGATGGTATTAAGAGATCAGTTTCAAACTGCCACTCAAATTAGGCACCGTTTG